GATTATTCTATTATGTATGGTAGTGGCACCCTAGGACAATGGGCACAATAGACTTGGAAACATACAAAAGGCAATAGTATTATTAGCAGACCTTATACAGTATTTAAGACAGCTTGCTCTCACTGAAAAACCCCAGCTTTAAGCTAAAGTTTATTCACACCACTCTACTTTCAAGCTGATTCCCTTTGATCTTGTGACACATCAAACAAGAAGTGCATCAGTGAACTCAGTCGACTGCCTGAAGTGTGAGGCAGCTTCTGTTTATCATGTGTTTTCATTCACATGACACTTGAGTCTAACAAGTTCATTTCTCATTCACCTCTCTTAGTCACTTAGCTGTTATCAAGTACATCATCAGTATGTTGAACTTCATCCTCTGAGGGGAGGACTGGATTGACTGGATCAGTTAGTTATACTGGGCTTGATGGGCCTGATATACTTCTTGCTCAGCAAGCTGTGTGATATCTTTTGTGCCACTTCAGTCAATCAGCTTCTCTAGCAGCTGCTTGCCAGTATTATTTTTTGGCTTTGTAGTCATATGCATAAAATAGATTATCAGTTCTGATGACCTCTGTTCTGTTTCTCTTGCTGTCTGTGCTCTAGTTCCTGATATAAAGCTCAGTGAGGATGTCCTCCCCACTTTCTGTTGGCATTGCATATAGAGATCCATGATTATCATTGCATAGAGGACTTCTGTTTTCTCAAGCCATCTCAAGGGCATCAAGGGAGTCTCTGGCATGATGTCCAATGCCAGGCTCAGAGGATGCAGTTGAGAGGGTGGCCTTTGTTGTAGAGATACAGCTGGAGATATCTATGCACTTGACCCACAGAATAGGCATGTCAGATCTTGGTCTTCAAAACTCTGTAGCCTAAGAGTTGCTATCGTTTCTAACAATTGCTGTCAGAGATCAGAATAAGTATCAGTGTTCTTCTTCTTCTCTAGAATGCTCTTCAGGCATATCTCCAGAGACAGTTTTGGGTATGGCTCCTTCTGTAGGCTGGAAGGACTGTTGAGTAGAGGGAGAGATGTCATAGAGAAAGAGATCAGAGGTGACATTTCATAGAATATATTGAATACATTGAAATTTTTGGTAGTAACAAATGGTCCAGGCAGTGATTGATTGATGTCCATGGTATATGTTAGACTCAAACTCCACGTGACTATTAACATGTGATGATAAACCGATAGAACCTCGCACTTTGGGTTAGACTATCAGAGTTCATCAAATGCCAATGTTGTTGTTGTGGGTCAAGGCTTTGCAAGTAGTAAGAGCTCAAGAGTAGTTTGGTGAAGATAAACTTTAGTTCGAAACTGGGGTGTTACAGCGAGAACTAAGCTACTTAAATACTGTTCTGTTACCATACTATAAATAAATGTTCACAACAAGCTGTTGTCTCTTGCAGAGCTGTTACTGCTGCGGTTACCAAGCTCTCCACAAAAGCTATTATCTTGCTGTTATGCTGTTACTGCTGCACCGCAGTTGGAGGACAAAAGGAGTATTGTCTCTCTCTTCACAGCACACAGCAGCGAGATAGGAGAGTGACCGACTGGGTTGCTGAGCTAAGCATTCCCACGGTCCTAAGCGCTGGCCTGAGCACCCTGACTAAGCAAGATAGGGGTCATTTCCAAGGAAAAAGAAAAGAAAATAGGAAAAATCGTAACATCACCCCCTCCTTAAGACTATCGTCCTGATGGTTAAGTTAGAGAAGTCCTCTGCCCCAGGCAGGAGATGGCCGATCTGCTGGACCCGTCCATCGAACAATGGTGGCGCATTGCTCTTCGCTGTATGTCCCCACCATTGCTGGTTCGCCTGCCATAGGGTCATCTTCATCATCCTCAGTAACATTCCCTCTGTCATCAGCCGGTCATTTGAACATGATCTCCTCCATGTCCAATTTGTTGATCCTGTGTTCATAGTCTTGAATGGCCTATTCCACATTCATGTATTTCTTGTTAACCCATTGATTTGATTCTGGTCCATAGCCTTTTCAGCTGACTAAGTAGTCAACGGTTGTTGTCATGCCGCTGCCTCGTGCTTTAACCTTTTGTGTTTTATGGTTTAGTACCTCATCAATTTTGTAGTGTTCTTCATCGTCGATGAGTTCTGGGGGAGGTGGAGGTGGTCGTTTCTGATTTGGGAAGGCTGGTGCAACGTATGGAGTCAATAATGTTTCATTGAAAACATTATGTATTTTCCAAGTCGCTGGGAGTTTTAGTTTGTATGTGGATTTGCCGATTTTGGTGATGACCTTGAAGGGGTCTGTCCATTTGTCTGCCAGCTTTTGTTTTGGCCTTGGTAGGTGAAGATTTGTAGTATCCAACCACACCATGTCATTGGTTGAATATGTATGTGCTGCCCATCGGTGCTTGTCGTACTGCTTCTTCATCATTGAAGCAGCTTTTTCGAGGGCCGTCTTGGTTTCTTCATGTATTTTTGCCATGGTAGTAGCAAAATCCACGGATGCTGGTGTTGTAGTTTGCCACCGTCCCACTTGTGCAACTAGTGGGTTGTGTCCATAATTCACAAAGAACGGTGTTTTACCCATTGCAGAGTGAATCCTGTTATTGTGCTGGAATGCTGCCAGTGTGAGCCATTCTGTCCAGTCATCCTGTTGATAGCTAATGAAAAGTCGCAGGTACTTTTCAATTTCTTGGTTGGCCCATTCCGTTTGGCTGTCCGTCTGTGGGTGATATGCCGTTGAGGCATTTCTCTTGATGTTGAGGAGTCAGTACAAATCATCCAAGAATTTGGAAACAAATTGTGGTCCTCGATCTGAAATTACTACTTGAGGCATGCCATACTTTGCATAAACCTCGTCCCATAGCACCTTTGCCCATCCTTCGGATGTCAATTCTGTCGAACAGGTGATCAGAATGATTGCTTTCGAGAAGCGATCGACTATGATGATAATGGCGTCATAGCTGTCACTTTCGGGAAGCCCAGTTATCATATCTACTGAAATGTGAGTCCATGGTGATGAAGAGACCTCATTTGGGTGAAGTGGCGCTGCTCTGGGTTGTGTTGAAGTCTTGTCTCATTGGCAAACCTCACAAGCCTTGACATATCAGGTGATATCATAGTCCATCTTTGGCCACCAATATTCCCTCAAGACCAGTTCTTTGGTCTTAGCGATTCCGGGATGTCCAGTGGTCACATGATCGTGACTGATGGCGATGATATCACCCTGCAGTTTTTGATCTCTTGGGATATAGATCCATCCGTCGTAACAGATCAATCCCTCTTCTTTCTTTAGCCTGCACTCATGATTCAGTGATGGGGCTATTCTTTGATCCCACTTGTGTGGATCCCGAGTGGCGCTCTTGATGTGTTCGTGCATCTCTTCTTCCGTGGGCATAATCATTGCCTGGAAGTGTTCTGGTCGTAGTAAAATGACTTCTTTGTTGTCATCTCCCCCCTGATTGTGGTCTGCCCTGTGGCTGAGGAAGTTGGCCTTCTTGTTTGTGACACCAGCCTTGTGGTATAGCATATATTCATATTGAGACAGTTCTGTGACCCATCGGGCTTGTCGGCGATTAAGCTTTTGTGGTTGATGGAAGTACCAGAGATTCTGATGATCAGTCCAGATTTCGAAAGTCTGGCCTGCTCCAATGAGATAATGCCGCCATTCGGCAAGGGCAAGCATTATGGTGAGGAGTTCTTTGTCATAGATTTCATAGTTGCACTCAGTTATGGTGAGTGCCTTTGACATGAAGGCGACAGGTCGCCATTTGCCATCTTGTTCCTGTGATAGCACAGCTCCAATTGTGCCTTCACTGGAGTCTGCTTCCACCCTGAACTTTCCATCCTGGCTTGATACAGCCAGGATGACGTCTTCAGCTAGTCGGCATTTGAGATCGTCGAATGCTGTCCATTGGGAAATTCCCCAGCTCTATGGGGAATTTCCAGTTAATTGCATCATTGGGCAGACTATTTTGCTGTAGTCCCGAATGAACCGGCGGTAGAAGTTGGTGAATCCTAAAAATGATTGTAACTCTTTCTTCTTAGATGGTTCTGGCCATTCGGTGACCTCCGCTACTTTGATCGGATCCATCCTGATACTTCCTTCGCTGATAATGACTCCGAGATATTCAGTTTCTAATACCTCGAATTTGCATTTTTCAGCTTTGAGGAAGAGTCGATGCTTCCTCATCATGTTACGATTTTTCCTATTTTCTTTTCTTTTTTCTCGGAAATGACCCCTATCTCTGCTTAGTCAGGGTGCTTAGGCCAGCGCTTAGGACCGTGGGAACACTTAGCTCAGCAACCCAGTCGGTTCTGGTCTTACTGCACTGCTGTGTGCTGTGAAGAGAGAGACAATGCTTCTTTTGTTTCTCAACTGCGGTGCAGCAGTAACAGCACAACAGCGAGACAACAGCTTTTGTATAGAGCTTGGTAACCACAGTGGTAACAGCTCTAT